AACCATTTAGCAGCTGCATGTACAATGAACCCCCCGTCGAGTTGCTGTTTGCTTTTCACTAATTTGGGATTTTGGTGCTCTCATTTTCGAGATCCTTTTCATATGATACAGTAAGTGATAGGAAAGTAGTAATTGGTGAAATATGTTGTACTGATGCAGCTCAGCTCAGAGACGAACATGTGTGATAGGGCGGGGCTAAATTTAGCCGGGCTTTTTATGGAGGTCCTCACTGCATATACACGTGCGTTTGAAATCGATCCGTCTGTCTTTTTAACGGTTATGTAAGATTTGTTTTAAATGGTGTTGGTTTTTTGGGGGATTCATTGTTTGTGGTATATTTAGGATTGAAGTGAGTCGACGATTGGCGAGCTCCAAGTACCACCATCATCACCAATATTAAAACGCAGTGCAAGGTACATCATTTTTTTTCTCTTCACGCAGCAGTGTTGCGAAACATTGACCTCACATGAGGACCGTTTCAATTTTTTTTTCTGTTTAGCAAGTAGATTTTTTTTTTCTGCAAGGTCCAGACCCTTATTCATTTGTTTTGTAACTTTGCTGTTCAAAATTGGATGTTCTCGGCTTTAACGCGGTTCCAGCCAGGCGTTTGTGAAAAGCGGACCCGTCATCCAAGCCCATCATTCCCGTGTCAATCTTAGCTGATCAATTAGCACGGGCGTCTCCCTTCGTCGGAACAATACTTGTCAGTATAATAGATATTATTGGCCTCCACGGAGGCACTGGCGACGGATTTTCGAGCGACTCCGTGACTTGTTTATCTGTAGCGGTAGCCGGCCAAAAAGCTCGGTGCTCGCTGGCTGTTACGCCGTTAAGTAGCATCGAGCTTCTCTTGACCTCCGAATATTGGAAAAGGATGCTAAAAAGTTGAACACAACCGGGCTGTACTTTTGCGTACCACTATATGCAGGCAGTCAGAAACATCATCGTGACATAAAATTCGTCACGATTTGTCACTATTGGTGCCGGGGATCGGCCTCGGTTATCCAATCACAGGAGTTGTGCTGTCTGAGCAAACTTGAGGGCAGAGGACTGTTGTCACGGCACAAACGGATTGATTCCAGCTTTGCCTGGCCGACCGTCAACTCCGAAAACAAAGCCGCCACTCTGTGTGCAATTGCGCAACGCCTTCACACATGAGCCGCAAATGAGACGCTCGGCGAGAGCTTTGCCCCGCGCCTAATTGCACAGTGCAATTTGCGGCGCCGGACGGAGCGGCTGACAGATCGGCGCGAGACAATGCGTTGGACGGCCGCTCCAAGCCCAACGCTCATCCCGCCAATTCTGACATAAGTGCAGTCCTTAGCCGCTGACTGCATTTCAGCTGACACATGTTTGAACCTCGAAAATTTTTGCACGACGTAAGGCATCCAAATGGCCGGACAGAAATGCAACAAATGTGCGACGCGGTCATAGTAGTGCACAAGGCCAAATGGAGTTGACAGCGACTTTGCCGACTACAAACTAGAAGTACGGTGGCCTTCGTGGGTCAGAAATGTGAAGAGAAATTGTCGCTTTAAAACAGTTTTGATGAATTGGTCCAGAGTTCCCGGTCATGGGAAATATCTGTTCCTGGCTCACTCACATCACCCGTCACGACAACCAGCGCGGACTTTCTGTCGTGGATGATGCCGAGTTCGACTCTTGTATAGTGGCCGCTGTAAAGTCGGAATTTCAGTTTTGCGAGCGTCACATGGTTAATTCTCCACGTTTGGCTTTTTCTTGGGCTTTTTCCAACATCATCAGGTTACATATTGTCACTTGTTTAACCATCCCAATTTTTGCTTTGGACTTACACAACATGTAGAACGCTGAGCAAATATTTGAGACAATCGGGAGTGAGAGTGAGTATTTTTAACTTCCACTTTTGACAGCCAATTTTGTGGCTTTTCATTGCTCAGTGAAGGCAGAAAAGATTCAAGCATCACATTCAACCACGAAAGCTGAAAGTTATTTCCAAGAATGCAAGTAAAGGGCAATAACATCTTACGTCAACAAATAATGATGTGCTTTGCCTTTCCCCGCCCCCCCCCCCCCCCCCCCCCCTTCGCTTGCACTATAAAAATGAATGATTGATTGATTTTGAGTGAGCGGGGCCGCTTGGATCGACGGTGAATCAAGTCATCTGTGTCCACACCCACAACGGCACAAAACACTGTCAAAATACCAACACTTAGTCTAGCCTGCCCCAGCGCGGATTCAGCCCACACCTCGCACCAGACTTGCACTCAGCACCAAAAACAGATCCCTGGATCTGCAAATGTGACCGAAAATATTTGCTGTACGGTCAATAAAGGCTTTATGATGGTCACCCTTGGACCCTGGAACGTGTTTCCTGCGGCTTTAAAACCTAAAATAAAAACTGGATGTCAAACAGCAGTCAAAGTGGCACCGTAGATTCTAAAAGCGGACCACAAAAAAAAAAAAACTTGCACTAAAAAAACCCCGCAATACAAAACATGTCTGTGTGTGAGAGCCCCAAGGGGATTTTCTTGCAAACCCTCCACGCGTTGGAGCCGATTCACGCGCTGCATCCTGCACAAACTGTGCTCGCCCTCTGGAGGAAGCGTAAAGTCACACTGGCAAAAGGTACTGAGGCTGACTTGTGCCCGCGCACTGTGGAGCCATTGTGCGGACCCCCGCCTCCCCCGTCAAAACTCACACTGCACTCTTACTTTAATTTCTCCCCCCGCATGGTTACGCAGAAAAACGGGCCCCGCGGTGTTCGCTCTGGCCGTGAAAGAGCGATTCATAGCCGCCTCCTTCATCTTCTCACCTCTCTCTCTCGCTGCTGACCTCTGACAACGCAACCTCAACGCAAACACTCTCGGGGGGCGCCGCAGCAGGCGTTCAAAGTGCAGAAAATCCCTGGATGGGAAACAGACCTCCAAATCTGGACCAGACGCACACTTGAACTTCAACCAAATACTGTGCGATGAATCCGGCGTGAGAATGAGCCGACTATAAAAAGTTATCTTTGGAGAAAAAAAAAAATCATGAGCCTACTACCTGTATGCAAACATTAAATCGGGGGAGGGGGGGGGGGTCTTTGTCAATGTGGAACAGATACGGATGGAGGAAAGGGGAGGGATGGGCAAGCACGGTAATTAGCAGTGGTGCTTACCTCCATGGCTGGGGTCAGTGAGAATCAGCAGGGTGAGGATGGCGCCCACCAGGGCAGATTGCGAGGCTCTCATATTTTAGCGCTGCCAGTTAAGTCCTCCAGCGTCTTGGCTTAGACACGCTCCATTCACCGGTGGCCTGAATGACTTTCTACTTTGGGGAACTACTACAGGATACTCCTCTGTGTGAAGGGGCAGGGCCGGGCTGGGCCGGGCCGGGGAGGGACCAGGAGAAAGACGCCCTCTTTCCAAAACTACCCCGGCACCCCCCCCCACCCCCACCTCCATTGCACAGCTTTCAAACACACTTGAGCACATGTTCCAAGGCTGAAGAATCGCTTCCTGTCTTCACTTTGAGACATGAAAAATAAGCTTTTGTTTAGATTTCGATGGGAACTTGTTAAAAACGTTTTGAAGCCGACAGGCAACCATTTTTCAAACATTCTCACCAAACAAGTGTAAACATCCAGTACGCGGCTTTAAATTGGAGATACTCTAAAGCAGTTCAATTTCAACAACGCGGCAAAACAAATGCTTGCTGCGTCGTCCACGTGCCACTTAGCCGCTTCTTTTAGCCGTCATATCATGACAAAAACAGCTGATCAGTGGTCCCCAAACACTGGTCGGTGGATTGATTGGGGGTACAGTAAATGTCCAAAAGCAAATTCAAAAGATACTTGAGCGAAAAAAAAAAAAGTGAGTCCCATCACAAAAGCATTTCAGGTCATTTTATTCTGTCATTCAAAATCGTCACACAAGTGTAAAAAGAAGTTAAGCATTCAAGAAATGGTCTACCTTAAGTTTGATCACCATGATGCTGATGAATATGGTCGATCACTTCCACTGATTGTCTGAATACTTTGTTTTTCAAATGTTCTCATCAGATATTGTACTTATATTTTTCATGGCATTTTTGGGGGGTGAACTCCCAAATTTTATCCAACTTGGTTGTTGTTTTCCCACAATCTTTTTTGTCAAATTTGAAGCAAAGTTGATGAAATTGGAAGGGTGTTCTAGCGTAGTAAGGGCGTGTCCTTGAAGCCATGCCCGGTGGAATGACAACCTGGCTACAAAAAAAAAAAATGGTCGAGAGGACACACCTGCTCAGAGCACATTTAAGTAGCGGCGTCTCGTTTCCCATTTTGGTAAATGTGATCGGGGAACAGGGCGTACACACTCTGAGCGCCGCCGACATGGAGGAACATTTTTCACAACACTTTTGATCAAATTTGCCAGTCCAAGGTCACACAGTACATTTCCGGTGGAATTCCTTTACGATAAACATCACCTTAGGGTTAGCTTTTGCCTTCTTAGCATTTTTGAAGTGAGCATTCTCGACCATTCTCTTGTTGTAGTACAGCGCCGCCCTTTAGTTACGGCCGCGGATCGATCGATTGACAAACGAAACATGAAAACAACAGAGCGACAAATAATAGTATTGGGGCTAAGCAGTTCTACCTTCCCTCCTTTTGTCTTCCTCGGTAATTGAAGTGGCCTGCTGGGAGCGCAGCCCGCTTTCTGCAAGGATAAAGCTTTTGCTTTTTTAATTAAAGCCCAATCAGGTTGCCAAGCTCTCTTGTTGCTTTTCCCTTGATCAATGTCGGCTTCTTTATGTTTTTGTTCCACTAACCTGCTCCCCGAGCTAATTAGGCTAACGCCCGGGCGTGCGGCGGAGAGCTTCTGGCTTCACTTCACATCTCGCCGTTACAGTTGCAGCAAACTTTTTTTTTTTTCGTACTCTCCCCTCTGCTAAAATAATCAAACAGGCGCTTAAATCGAATGTTGGAGCTGATGCACTTCGCTTTCCTTGTAACGAGCGCGCACGCGCGCTCTCTCCCGACAAGGATTAGCACTTTCTGCTCGGATGCCAAGATTATACTTCCCGTTCGCTCGTCGAGTCGAGAGTTTTTCCCCATCTCACAGTCAACTGCTTGGCAAATTATTCTCTCTGCAAGGGAAGTGGGATTATAATTAGAATGTTCGAGCGGTGTGGAAAACCTCTTAAAACAACAAATGACTGTTGACGTCATGTGTTGATTTATTTTGGAGGAGGGCGGGGGGCAGAACAAACATATCGTCATTTATGCATAAGGGGAAACTGGAGCAATGCCCCGCCAGATGAAGCTTGGGAAAGTTGACTTAATCTTTAGTGTAGTCGTAGCATAATTAACGCGTGTATCATGCGCATGGTTTTGCAAACTTCAGAGACAATTTTTGGTCTTCAATGAGGCAAATGAAGACATTTTCGTCAACACACAATTTAACCCTTGAATTATGCTTTCGTGAACATCAAGGACAATCTGACTTCAATTATGCTATTTGCATGGGGTTTCTTTTTTGTGTGTGAGTGCAAAAATCAGATGATTTTGACTTTAATGTCCAGAATGTACATATTTTCATAAAAAATATTGATTTACATTTTTAACCGTCAATTGGAATACGTTTTTCAGAGTTGTGCCAAACCCAACAAAATATATGATTTGGCAAATAAAATCTAAGCTAGAAATATGAAATTGCTGTGTGTCTGTCTGGCTGGCTAGCTCGCTAGCTGTCTGTCTATCTATCTATCTATCTATCTATCTATCTATCTATCTATCTATCTATCTATCTATCTATCTATCGATCTATCGATCTAGCTAGCTGGATAGCTGGATAGCTGTCCGACTGCCTAGCTAGCTAGCTGTCTATCTATCTATCTAGCTAGCTGTCTTTCTAGCTAGCTTTCTAGCTATTGATCTATATTAAAAAACATTGTCTGTTTTCCAAAAATGCTAGTTCCTAAAATTGTCCTTTTATTGCGGAATGACCCATGTGCGGAAAAATGCGACGACGAAATGACATGCGACACTCCTAAGAGCGATGGCGGCTGTAAGACGACCCCCTGAACGCCACATGGCGGTTGTAAGGCAACACTATTTATGGCAGACGATCCCCTCTGAAAACAAGCTCCTTGATTATTTCAGCATGGAACCAGCCATACTTGAAATCGTTCCCGCCCGAGCCTGCGACCGCGACAACATTCCCCCCCAACAACCCTGGGAGGTATAATTCACCCTGGTATCATCATCCGCTGAGACCCGCTGACACGACTGGGCCGCGTAGAGTATGCAGACCACGTCACCAGTCGGGTCCTCTGATGCAAGCGTCAGTCCCTCAGTTCCTTGATTTGGCTGCAAATGTTTCATTAAAGTGCACTAATCATGTCTAACATGCACGCCGGCATTCCTGCGGAGTTTTTGATCCCACCGGGGAACTGTTTGCATTCGGCGCGTCTCCCCAACAAAGCACATTAAATGTCTCCTCCCGCCTCAACGTGTGTGAACGCATTTCCCAGTTTACCGCTGTACTGCTAGATTTCTTTTGACATCAACTCATCCGCTGCCGGTTAGAGCCTGAGGAATCGACAAGGCTCATTTTGGACTCTTGCTGTCGTCTCAATGCAAACCTTTGTGACCATATGATGATGTTATGGAGGGGGATCAAAGTAGACGTCTGGCTTCCAAAAACCATGACCTTCACCACGGCCGCTGCTCAATACCACGCAAGTTGTTTGACAGATGTTGTAGCATGAGACTGTCACACGAAATATGTCCTGTATCATTCTTGGGGGAGAAAAAAATGGACAGATGGTCTTTGTGCCCCCGCTCCATTCCACGTCGGTGTCGTTCAGTAGCCAAAGGAGCTCTGGTCTTTGGTGGTCCTCCGAGATGAAGCTCCTGCTGTCCCACCAAGTTCACTCGCATACAGTATGAACATTTGGACATGTGGTTTAAATAAAAGCGCAACGTGTTGTGAGTTGTGACTCACTCCCACTGTACATGGAGTCGGGCCTTATCAGATCTCACGTCTTTGGCCTGTTGTTGTCATCTTCCCAAGCTGCAGCGAACTCGGGACATTCTCCCAAAAATATCAGCCAGCGTCTTTGCTCGGGTTGCCCTTCAGCGCCCCGACTCAGGTCTCGTCTTGTCGGACCACAAGACAAGGGTTGTGCTCCCTGTAGCGGAGGACTTCTTGATTAAAGCCCTGCTAGCGTGTCTGTGTTATCGTAAGCCTTTTTTGGGGGGGGGCTTCTTCCTGTTGTCAGGACGTCAGACTGAGCCAGATAATCACAGCACTGTTTTGATCATCATGTGTTGATGGGGGGTGAAAAAAAAAGCACTGTGATAATTAAACGGGAAGAAAGAGCGTGGTAGCACCCGCAAGAACGCTACGGGGGCGGGGGGAAACGGGTGATAATTTCTCCCGCGGATGGCCCTTCAATGTGCCTCCCTGTCAGTTGTGTCTGCTAATAGCTCGCTTGTCATTTGCATGATTGCGCGGGCTGCCGGTGAAAATACAGAGATGGGAAGCAGAGACCAGACGTGGTCGGCATTGAACTCGAGGCGCTGAGGGTTACGTCTTCCAAAAGAAAACAGAAAGAGTTTGTGGAGGAATGGCCACGTTGATATCATTTGAACCACGTTTCGGTCCAAAAAATTGCAGAACCAAAATCCAAATTTCATTGATTGTGTTGCCACTGGACTTTTCAATGCCCTGACAATGAAATGTTCGTTACGTTCATTTTTTTTTTTCTTTTTCTTCTTTTGCTGTCCCGCCATGTTGTGCACGCACTTGTGGTCGACAATGAGGCACTCTAAAACGACCATGCCAGCGTCGAACATGTATTCGGAAAGAAATCTCTAAATTCACCTTACAGAGTCCATTTGGTCACCACCCCTCGTTGTCATGGTAACATACCGTTCTTGCATCGACACACACAGCAGTCGAGGGGGCAGGGTGAGCAGTGGACTGTCCCATCGAGATCGAGGCCAAGGCTTGGAAAAAAAAATGGGGTAAAAATTGCTCAACAGTCTTGATTAAAAAAAAAAAATTTAAAAATCTTTGGAGCCTTCATGAAAGTCTGCTCCAGAAATGTTCTGAAGACACAAAGGAAATGTTTTGAACCTGCCTCCTTTTGAAATTCTGGTTCAAACCATGACGAAAATGCCAGAGGAAGCGATTTCATTTGGCTCTATTCTTGAGTGTTAATGAGAGGCTTCGAATCAATAAGGCGAAGGTGTTGCGTCGATACCCTGATGAAGTCCGCTCACTCACAGGACAACACCCCCACACTCCCAATCGCAGCCCCGCAGTCAACTTTGCCGTGATTTAAAA